GTAAATGGGGATTCTTCAAAATCAGCATTTGTTTCCATAAATTATGGGGAACACCACTGCCTGGACAATGCTAATCTGAATATCTTTTCAGAAGCCTTTATTGTTATTTTACCAAGTGCTCTTTTGTAGCATATTTGCTGAAACCAGGGTTGAAATGTTGATGTTTTATGAATTTCCTAATAGATAAGAGATGGATTACAGGATGAAGTAATATTCGCTTGTAACTTTATAGTGAGTGAAGAGTTAATAAGTTTGCCTATAGTTGTAATTAATGTTGAAAGTTTTTTCTATTTGTTTATCATATTACTTATTTTCTCTTTTATCTATATTTTACTTGATATTTTTCTATATTTTACTTGATATTTTTCTATATTTTACTTGATATTTTTCAACCAAAGTGGCAATCAATAATTATATACTTGCAACTATATATGCTTACATCAGTTTAATACTTATAGAGCTTCGTTATTACATGCTTGCATATTGATCATATTTATGTGAAATTACCCTTAAAATATCATTTTTGCTTCCCATATGCAATCGGTTTGTCTTTCCAGGAAAGACTAACATTAACATTATTCAAGTACTGCCTTGTCAGATTATGCACTCAGTTTTATTTAATAAATATAGCTTATTTTGCTGGTAAACCCAATTCTTTTATGCTGATGAATCCCAATGATTATTACTAATTATAATTAGTAATAGTAGTGGTAGAATTGTCTTAAGAGTTTAAATGTATCAAAACAATATTCATGGAATTAAAATCTTAAGTAAAGAAACCATACCAGTTGTATATTAAATGTTTGCATTTATAAAGTGTGGAAAGCTGATACTGATCACTTCAACTGAGAGACTTAAGAATTTATTTTTTTTCTAGAGCAGATCCAATAGTTTTATTTGCTCAAGCTTCAAAGCAAATAACTTTCAAATGTTAGTTTGTAACAGAGTAGAGAAACTGACATGAGAAATGAGAAAAATAAGTAAACTAGAAGATAAGTAATTTTTTACCCATGTTGGTATTACTTCATATTAGAGCTTCAAAGTGTGTTTTATCTATAAATGAAATTCATATAATATCTAGTTGAATATTGTTTTATAAACTGATAGACACATCCTTTAATTCAATTGAGATTTCTTCCAGGTAACTATATATTATATTTGAAATTATATTCTATAAGCTACTGGTAATTATGACCTTATTAGAAATTTATTGTTTTTTACTATTTCGGTTCTTATTATAAATTTTTTCCAATAGAATTTTGAGCCTCCACTCTCCCAATCTGAATGAAGAGAGAATTATTCCTGAGGGTCCTATATATTAATAGATACAATGAAGGATTATAAAAAATTAGATCAGGACTTTCCTGATTGATTTAGGATGAAAATTTTCATTGCCAATTGATTACATTGATGTTACTATCTATTGTTATTTTATTAATTTCATTATTATTATTTTTACTGGTACCACTTAGAACTGCAATAGGGTAAAACTGTATATCTTAAACTGAATGCTCTTCTGTTCCATGTCACCGTGCTCCTTGAGTAGCTGTTCCAATTTTCTTTAAGCTTGGCTGAGGCACCACTCAATAGCAAAGTTCCGTTTTGAAAATCACAATGCTGAGTTTTATGGGACAAAGGAGTTATACCACAAAAAAATTTGCAATGAAAAGAAAGATATTGCTTTAGGAAGCAACCTTTTCCACCGATTGGTAGCTCCTACTCTTAGAAAATTTGTTGTAATACCTTCTCTGAATCTCCTTCCCTATAATTTCAATGTTCTTGAGTATCATTAACATTCAGCATCTCCTGATCATATTGATTCTATAGATTACATCTTCCATGTGTGTTCCTCTAATGTCAACCCTCCCAAGTAAACCAAACAAGAAATATGACAAGATAGATTTATTCTGCTTTGTTGTAAGGCTGCATTAACAGAATCTTGCAAATCTGAAGACTCAGGTTTCCCACGTCCCTTTTTAATTACTTGATCCATTAGGGTGGGTATTTCCTAAGTTTCTATCTCTGACAGTTGAGTGACTGTGGGCATTATCTGCCTCTTTTGCCTTTTTTTTCTTGTCATAATTTTATTTTTATTCAAAACAAAGTTTAAAATGCAACACTTAAAAAGGACAAAAAAACAAAAAACCACACAACAATTAAAAATGCATTAGAAAGAATTAAAACAACACATATACACATATTAATTGAACACTGATTAATACATTACTAAAATGTTGGTTCCCACCTCTTGCAAAACAGGCACTCCCAAAATGTTTAAACTAGTAAATCTATTTGCAAATTAATGACGTCTTCTACATATTAATGACAAGATAGCATTAAAAGACAAAAAGATTCAGAACTCTCTCTTAACAAACTATTATTGTAAACCACTCGTAGAAAGTTTACCATAGTGTTCTGTCTATCACAAATCTTCCCAAATGTCCTGGATCAAATATCCACATTTGTTTCTTACTGCCATCTCTTATTAATTGTTGTCTAATTAAATATAATAAATTCTGCCCCCACAGTGGCTCTATCTTCCTAACAAGGTCTAAATAGAAGTGGTTTCCATTTATATGTAATAAATCCATTCTCAGATCTCTCTCCATCTTTGGAGTAAAAAAGAATTTGTCATTTCCCCATTTTGTCAGGTTCCTAGTATTGCAAGGATATGGAGGCTTGAAGTTCAAATACATGGGATTGACAATAAATTCTCCGGTTATGGGGATATCTCTTTGGTCTGCAACTTCAGATTAAGATTCTTTTGTAAATCTTTATCCAAAACTATATGCTTCTGCGTATTTTCCACGACAATTATCATCTCATCAAACTTTTTTTAAGTTCAAATAAAAACTGCATACTACCCAATAATCTTTTTTGAGATCTGCCTCCTTGGTTGCCTGTTATGTGGTACATTGTTACTTTGTGTTATCTTGATCAGGGAACAAAGAATACTGAACCAAAAAGAAACAAGATGTCTTCTGGTGTCTTCCTACTCTCTCCTTTGATTGTTTCCTAGACAGTATTTCCTCCTCTCTTTCATTAAGGTCATTTATAGATTCATTACCTCTTGTGAGTGTTGGTTATAATTTGTTAGTCCAACACATTAACTGCTATATGACACAAGTTGTTTTAGACATTATGGCAAGCCAAAATAAATGCTAGTTAATTTGAGGCAGAGAATTTAGAAAATCAGTCTGACTGATAGCTCAATATTGTTGAGTTAGTACTACTATACTATATTATTCATGATGGATATGAGTCCCACTTTAATTAAGGTAGTTAATTTCTAGATGTATGGCTGTAGGATCGCGAGCAAACTTTTCATGTGTTATCAATAGTTAATAAAAATTACATGAGATTTTGTATGCCTAATATATAAATATATAGCAATGTTTGCATATTAGCCTACTGTACTTAAGTAAAAGCAGTTCTAATACTTTTTCATTTAGTACTTGAACCTTCTCTTATTGTAATCATTCAACTCTCACTGTCCTTTATTTCACTTACCTCCTCTTCTTACGTGTCTGTTTTTCCACCAAGATCCATGCTTAATACAACCAAATCTGAACCTCTGTTACCAATGTACAGTGTTCCCTCTGAGATTATTTTTGCATAAAAGCAAGGGCCAGCATCACACTCTACATGTAACATAATGCAGAGTTTTTAACTCAGCCAGGTATACAATTTCTGTTTCACTATTTCTGCCTTATGCTGCAGATACAAATTTGGTGCAAAAAAAGCTAGAGGCAATATGTAGACTGGAACAAAGTCATACAGAAAGCTTGAGTGTTGATTGATTGATCAAAGGTTCTGAGTTTTAGTCTCCACTTTAACTTTAAAAGATAAGAGAACCTGCCAGCCTTCTCTCAATTTAAAAGATTAAACATTTCAACAGCTCTACAAAAGAGAGCAGTTTTAGCTCTGGAGGCTTTAGAAAATATCTTTCCAATGGGACTGTAAAAAAAAAGATTCTTATCAACCTGGGTCAGGAAATTATTTCAGTTACAGAGGGAGTAAAGAACTAAGTTCTTCACAGTCTTTATAAAAATAATCTGGGGGAATCTTCTGTACTTTTCTAAAGACAAACAATATATATATAGTGGTCTGGGCATCTTATTTGATCATGAAATCTGAAAACTACACTTTGTTCTGATTTTCCTGTCGTATATGAACAGAACCCTACTATCCTAAAAAAAATTATGAAGTACCTCATATCAGTATAATTATTTTTGCAATCTAGGTAGTGGTACTATAATATTAGGAAAGTTTGGGTATACCAAATATATTTCTGAAGGTATTGGATAAAATATATATTTAATCACCTGCTATATGTGTTTTGACAGTCTAAAAATGTGGATTACAATAGGCATGAAGAAAAAAATATTTTTAAATATTATGCTATCAGTTTAATTGCTGAATTTATTGTCATTTAAGTTTAATCATTAAGAGAAAAAATGTATAAATTATCTTAATTTTCTGTTGTGATAATTTCATTTATAACTATATAGATATTTATTTTTATTCTAGTAGAAAAATAGAATCTTTAACTGTTTTGATAAATTTGCCTGAAATATTTTGAACATTTACTGTTTTTCCTTATTTTCCAAATGGGCAATACATTAAGATACAAGACTGGGTTGATTTTATTTTTGTATGGACCAAAATCGATAATCTATTAAAAACATTTATTGTTTTTTTATAGTACTCTTTCCATATCAGAAATGTTCAAATCACATTTTACTTCATTATCCCAACAGCAGTATATATACATGGTATTGAAAATGAGCCATTTTGTTTTAAAACAGATTGCAGATGAAAAGAAACCATTCATTGCTTACTGTAATTACTAGAGCACTAATTACCTCTAATCACTGACATCCAGGTCAATAAGGATGACAACAGAAACAGCCTTTCAAAGCAAGCTGTAATTCTTTTTATTATAGCTATCACATTTTTCTAGAAATATTAAAAGTTGTTGATTTTTTTTCTATTTGCAGTTTGACGGTGAAAACATGTATATGAGTATGACAGAGCCGAGCCAGGAGTATGTGCCAGCCAGCCAGGTGGGTTAATTAATCTTCTCTGTCTTGTTTCAAATTGTAATTAAACAAATTCAAAGAATTGCATTGCAAATGAGTGGCACTATCAGTAACTGCTGCAATCAGAAATAATCATAATTTATAAACAAAGCGTTTAAGCCTTCTTTCTAGCTAATGAGATAGCACTGATAAAGCATCAGAGTTGACAGTTGCTGAAGACACTACTTTGTTTGTGCTCCAGAATGGAAGCAGCTGTTTTGCCAGCATGATCGTTGCCAAACAGTTGTTATACCTTTAGGAAGTAATCTTTACAGGTGTCTGCTATTTGTTTATCTAACTGCAGACAAGTTAATCATTGTCAGCCACAGGTGCCATAGACTATTGTCTATTACTTTACTGTTGTATGTAGTCCTATTTGACAAAATGGCTGATTCAAATTTGAAAGATGATTGAGAGATTGTCATAAGTGGGAAATCATGCGATCTAATTGCTTTCCAATCCATGCTAGCCTGGCAGGAAGATCCAATGAATCCAAAACTAAGTCAGGAAATAATTACATGTGGGTATACCAGGGAGAATAAAGACAATATTCTGTTGCTAATAGATGGCTATTAATAGCATAATTGTTTTAAATATAATATCTTTATTTAGATGGTATCTAGTAGCCATTAAAATATATCTGTCAAGCCTTTGAAATAGAGATCACATTATTAATGCAGTGTGTAATTTCTTTTGTTTATGCTATATCATGTCATTGGAAGAACCCAAACTTTTAAGGCAATATAGAATCATAGCACTACATAAAGTCAGTGTATTAAAACAAAGATTTGACTAACATCTGACTCAGAACGTTGCTTTCAGATAAAAATGTAGGAGGGACAGAGTTAAGAGGGATCAGCCTAAAATGCATACCTAGTCACAAGGAAACCAAATCCAAGCTCCCTTGCATTCCATTGACCAATATTTAACTCCAAGCAAGTGAGTTCATTGATGCATTGGTTCTTTGGTGCATCTAGACATTGCTCAAGACCTATTTAGTTATAGCTCATTGGAATGTACCTTTCAGTGTAAGAGTTGGGATAGAGAGATCAAAACCACTCTCGTGTTGCGTCATTTGCCCCTGTTCAGAAAGGTGTTAGCAGTGGAATAAGATCCTGTGTCTCTCCAAGAACAGCCTCTTCACCACATCCCCTTTGCCCTAAGATCCTCAGTCCACACAGGCTGCCGGAACGTCATGGGTAAGCTTTGGAATGTGAGCTTTGCTGTTTACTTCTTTAGCTAGCTTATTAATGTGTTTTCTCATAAGAGATTTTCATTCTTTAATCCCCCCATTTGCTTTCAGGAGCTGGTCAAATACAACAATGTTAGTAGGCAATTCTTAGCAACCAAATCCAAGTCTCCTTTAAAATTGTTCCTAATATTATTCTTGTTCCCCTCTCCAACTCCTACTGGAATTGTAACTCTCTCCTCCATAGAGAAGCAGTCATCCTCTTCCCAATCCCGAAAGGGACTAGGTTTGTTTGCCAGGGGTCGCAAGGGGGAAAGAAAAGAGAAAAGGAGACTTACTTGCAGTTATCTGAAAAAAAAAGTCTTTTATCTTGGATTGTCTGGGCGTTTCACAGCCATGTTTAGCTGGTTTTGTTTCCTTAGTAGAGAAACAAAATTCACTAAATGCTTTACCAGTGGGTGTAAAAGCTGAACCTCTCAAGTGGTGAAATTAAAACTTTAAATTTAAAAGTTAAAAATTGGTTAAAAAGTAGAAAGCCTATTTTAAAAAGTGACACCACCACCCCGCTTTTGCCGCGGTTTTTTTTTTTTTTTGCCTTCCCCAGGCTCCAGAGGCTTTCTAGGAACCTGGGAGGGTGAAAACAGCCTCCCCACATCCCGCCCCCAAACACCCTCCGGAGGCCTCAGGAGCTTCCCTGAAACTGAAACTTCCGGAGGGCAAAAACGAACCCGGTAGTCGGGAATGGTGACTTCCTGTTTTTCTGTAGAGCTGATTTTCAACCTCTGGAGCTTTCAGGAGACTTCCCTGAAGGCTCCGGAGGGCAAAAAACAGGCCCAAGGACAAACCAGAAGTCACTTGTGGATTCCTTGTAGGGCTAGTTTTTGCACTCTGGAGCCTTCAGAGAAGCCTCCTGAAGGCCCCTGAAGACTCCAGAGGTTGAAAATCGGCCCTATGGACAAACGGGAAGTCACCATTCCTGAACTTCCAGGGTCCCTGTAGGGCTGATTTTTTTACTTTCGGAGCCTTCAGGGGACTTCAGGAGGCTTCCCTGAAGGCTCCGGAGGGTGAAAAACAGCTCTAGGAGCAACCGGAAGTCTATTCCCGAAGTTCCAGTTTGCCTGTAGGGCTAGTTTTTTGCGCTTTGGAGGCTTCAGGGAAGCCTCCGGAAGGCAAAAAATAGCCTCAAAAGAAAGCTGAAATCAGCTGGCCAGTGCACGCATATGTGCTGGCTAGCTAACAAGCCTCGCATGCCCTGACAAATGGCTCCATGTGCCACCTGTGGCACGTGTGCCATAGGTTTGCCATCACGGATATAAGTTAATACTTCTGGTAAAGGTTCCCCTCGCACATATGTGCTAATCGTTCCTGATTTTAAGGGATAGTGCTCATATCCGTTTCAAAGCCAAAGAGCCAGCACTGTCTGAAGACATCTCCATGGTCATGTGGCCTGCATGACTAAATGCCGAAGGCACACAGAAAACTGTTACTTTCCCACCAAAGTGATTCCTATTTTTCTACTTGCATTTTTACATGCTTTCGAGCTGCTAGGTCAGCAGAAGCTGGGACAAGTAACAGGAGCTCACTCTGTTACATGACACTAGGAATTTGAACCACTGAACTGCCAACCTTTCTGATTGACAAGCTCAGCGTCTTAGCCACTGAGCTACCGCATCCATATCAACGTTCCTGTTAGAAATATCTAAATAGGGTCCCTAAATGTTTCAGTAGTAATCTGTTTTTTCTAGAATTGGTCAAGTGGATATATCAAATTTCCATAGTTATACACATGACACTTTCATGGTTTCACTGATGATGATATTCATTCAGTTGTGTCTGACTCTTGGCAATTCTTTGGGCCAGGTCTTTCCACATCTTCCAATCTTGCACTACTTCTTTGAGTTGTTCTATATTCTAGCAGTGGTCAACTTTGATTGTGTGTTATTTGGTGACCTGGTTTCCTTTTACCATTAATTCTTCCAAACATAATTGCTTTTTCCCAGTGAATTGCCTACACGACGTCACCAAACTGGTTTCACTACTCTCACACAATTGTTATGGTAGTTCATAATTTATTAAACAGATAACATTTAAAGGATGTCTCAGACACTTGCCTGAATGATTTGGATTTTAAATAGGAGGATATAGAAGAATAGCCCATAATCAATTCAAGGTTCCAAAAGCCATGCCAGGGTTGTCAGTAAGTCAGTGCAGAAGTTAGAGATTCAAAGTTTCTTACATAAACAAGAGTTCACATGAATATAACACAAGAACCAAAGATCAGACATTGTTTTCAGCAAAAGGAACATGGGTCAGGACTGCCAGTTAAATTAGACTGCAACCTGCTACCACTAATCAAGAGATGTATTTCCTTGTTTGGCAAGGAGCCCGATGGAAAGACTCTGCTCTCTACTTGTCAGGTAAGGGACTGGGAGGCTTTACATTATCTCCATATGGCTACTCCAGCTGTCCAGGTTATGCCTGTTTTTATCAGCCCCATGTGACTCTGTGATTGGTGTCCCCTGAGGTTTATATCTACAGATTCAGCTGGAACTGCTTCTTCAGAGCTTTGGTTATGATAGGTGTAAGCCTTAAATAGCTGTGATGTAATTCAGTAATTAGAAGTTTGTAAAAAATAGCTAGGTTCCTTGGACTTAATTTAAGTAAAAAGCATATAGTTACAATGCTATTTTTTAATTTATGAAGGTTATTTGTAGATGTGCTATTCATTTATAATCTACCACTTGTAGAAGTTGGTTATTTGGGAAAGTAAAAGAAAATATTTTAATTGAAATATCACCAAATCTATTCTAGGGGATTCAGTAATGCAGTATATAACATGTGAAATAATGGTTTCCTCCAGATTGTAGGTTTATTTTTAAATTTAAATTTCTAATAAGCATCTTATTGAGAAGTTGTATTCCTAAAAACAGCATTTTAAGTATTATTTAAATTGAACATTTGAAAACTACTGAACATATTTCTGTCATAATTATAATTGTACTATATTTATTTTATAACTTAAGGATTATTTACAAAAGTAGATCATATTGTTCAGTATTAGGGAATTGACAGGGAGGCAATTAACAGTTCTTTTGAAACAATGAACTGGTATGATTGAATTTGCTTATCTGAGAATTCTCTGGTTTGCTGGTAATTTCAAATGTTTGAGTAAAAATTGGGTGAGATATTTTTGTGTAATCTTTGTGTCCAAAACTTGTCTTGACAAGTTTAGCAGTATTGTTAGATTAAAGCAGCTAGGCATCTTCTTGCTTATATCTTCAGGGCTTTGAATCAAAAGGACTACCGGTAATTGAATTTATTTGGAAGTGTAGAAGCACAAACTGTCTGAATGGCTGCTGTTACAAACAGCTGTTACTTTTCAGAGAATCATTAAGTTTCTCTTTACAAGAACCAATAGTAAACCACTGCATTTTCTAATGTGGTCATTGCCTTCTGCTGTTCCTCTACCTGAGATACATATATTTTAAAAGGCAGATTACTCACGCTACATATTTTAATTCATGAATATAAAATAGATTGAGGATTCTTAAAAAAAAATGGATATCCTGATTTATTTAACCATTTAGCATTTATTATTTATTTGCCTCCTTCCATGATTCTTACTATCCTCCCAAAGTAGTTGGAGGCATTATTTATTTATTCATCCATCATATTGGCCTGTCATGAAAAAGTGACTCTGAGCAATGTATGCTACAACTATGAAAGAGTTCATATATATATAGAACTATTATTCCAAAAAAAAAAAAAATGTAAAACCAAGAAATCAACATCAGAT